CACTCATCTATTCTGTTGCTCTCTTGCTCCAACAACTGTTCAACTCATGCTGTTATCATGCTGCATTCCAGACCTAGTATCAGTAGAAATAATTGGTACCCACACTGAAACCGGGCAAGCCCAATTCCACTGACATCTACTGAACATAGAATACAAATGTAGGCATACACATAACTGTTAGAAGACGCATATCTGAACATCTATTACACTTCTACTCTCAGAGATCCCTTCTTTTAACTAATAAACTTTTAAAAATACACTGGGAATCCACAAGCACACATTTCCTGTCAAAACAGGAAATTGTAAGATATTGAAAATTTGATGTAGTACATATGAATTAATAATCTAAATTTGATCACCATTCCAAAAATACAAAAAGATATCACCCTTCCCTAGAAAGCTGTACATTCGAGTATGACAAAATATCAAGCAATTTTAATAAGATATCTTAAAAACCAATGCAAGACAGAAGAAATCTATAAGAAACTATGTTATTTGTGCCCACTTCCAAACAGTATTTTTTTCAACACTAGATTTTGAAGCATCACAACCAAGAATATTTTTGTATTACCATGTAACTATTTTTCAATTGCTTCAAATGTTTGGATTGGTTACTCGTCCAAGGAATTCTGGAATGTGTTCCATTTTTAAAAATGCAAATGCTACCTTGTCATCCTTACACAAAAGCCTCATGTAACATTTCAATTACAGATATGATCTTGACAAGATAGCTACTTCTTTCCCCTAGGATAGGTGTTTATAGTGCTGGCCTTTCAACTTTGCCAGAATTTTGAAAACAAATATGTGTATTACTGTCTTGTTTTTCTGAGATCTGTATACTGCCTTCCCATTTCACAAAGAAGTGGTGAAGAGAATAAATAAATATTGTGCTGGGCATATGTTATGATTATTGTAAAGGTGATGTTCTACAGAACAAAGCACTCTGTTGTTTTTCCTTGATTGAGTCTTTGAAGATCCATATTTCTGTAAAGTTAAGAGGAAATATTTATTAGGATACATTTAGTAATATACTGAAAAGGCTGGAAGCTATCTAATAACAGGTAGACAGATATAACATTTCTGTGATTATTGGTATGGAGGATGGGAAAAGCTCTATGCTTCAGATGTCACTGCATTGTAATAACCATAATACCTATTCAGCAGAACCACTAGTGAAGAATAATGTGAACTGCAATCTAAAGACATATGGGGCAAAGCACACCCCCCCCCCTCACTGACCTATAATTATGTGAAATGCAGGGAGGGAAATAAAGTAAATTCAAGGGCTGAAAAAAGCTATCCTGTTTTAAGAATTATCTACCAGTTCATTATACATACCAGTTGAACACATGTGTCAGGGATTTCAACAACAAAGCAAGTGTGCATACACCTTTACTTAAAGGAGCACAACATTTTGAACCTATAGTGTCCATTTCTATGTTTAGGATTACCTTATACATTAGGAGGTTCCAATCACCAAGTACATTAGAAAATTGAATGGCACCTTATATTCATATACAAGTTATATTCATATACAGTACTAATTACTCTTTCAAAGCCATTCACAAATCTTCACTTGAATGCCTTCTGCAGCTTCAGATGTGGCCAGGAATATTCCACTAGGTAATTAAGAACACAAATCTAATTTTTAAAGTTAATTCCCTGTCCTCTTTAAGGAAGGGGGGGGGGGAGAGGAAAGATATCAGGAAAAGCCTCAAGCATCTACTTCACCAACAGTTTAAGAAATTATTAAAGAAATTATTATCTATACCAGACTTACAAGTTGAGAATTTACCTCTGAATTAAACCTTACAGAATCACATGGAGATTAATTTTTACTAATGAAATCAATCTTTCCAAAAATCCTTTCTAGATAAAGAACTGAGTGTGGTGCACTTGAATTAAAACAAGAAAGAACTGTTTAACAGGCATTTTATGTTTAAGTTGACACCACCTATACTAGATAGACTAAAATGACACACAGCCTTCTCTGTCTCTATATTAGTTTGCCAACTATACAGAACCACACCCCCACATTTATGTCTACGTCAGTACAGAGGTCCATCCAAACAGAACTTATATTTGAATCACAGCTCAGAATACGCTGTACAAAAGTGGGATACAGGCAAAACAGCTAAAGCAAAGATGGTAATTAAAATCAATTTAAAAATTACTTTACAAGCTTAATATTCACAAAATACTTTTGCTATTCATGCAAGCCAATCTCAGTAAAATATAATTGGGATTTTATTCATAAATCCCATACAGTTCAAGGGGGCTATAGGAGTGTATAAAAACTGTAGTGTTACATTTCCCTTTGTACTGACAGGTAATAAACATTATACTCTGCATATGTGCCTTCAAGTCAACTGTCAACTTAGGGCAACTCCAAGAATTTAATAGGATTTTCTAAGGCAATGAATACTAGAGGTAGTTTTGCAGGTTCCTCCTTCTGAAATATAGTCTATTGCACAGGCATGGCCAAACTAGAGCCCTCCAGGTGTTTTTCACTTCAACTCCCACAATTCCTACCAGCTGTCAGGGAGTTAGAGTCCAAAACACCTGGAGGGCCGAAGTTCATCCATGCCTGCCATACCACCTGGCATTTGTTATTGGTCTCCCACCAAAGTACTAACCAAGGCTGGCCCTGTTTGGCTTCCAAGACCACAGATGGGTGGTCTTGGAAGGTTCTAACATTATATATTATGAAGCAGGTTTGCCAATACGTCAGCATTATTTGTTTTCCATTTTAATATTATTTACAGTAAAATAGAAAACACTTCCACAATGTTGATATATTGGCACACCTGCTTCATCATAACCAACTGGAGTTCAGTGATGATAAAAAGTATTCTGAAGATAAAAATACACTCAGACTCTGAGTGTTAATAAGGCAGTGAATATATTGACAATTGATTGTGTGTGTGTGTGTGTGTGTGTGTATTTCAACATAACCAACTGGATTTCAGTGGTAGCTTGATGAAAATAAAAAGCAGTCTGAAGATAAATATTTTACAAAGGAAACCCTGAATGTTAACAAGGCAGTGAGTGTACTGACAATTATATATGTGTGTGTGAATGTGTGTGTGTATACGCATTTCATCAAAACTATCAGGAGTTCAGTGGCAGTTTTATAAAGTATCTTTGAAGTTCTAGACATTCACAAAAGCTATGCTCAGCATATTTCCAAATTTCAGACATTCACTGTAACATGACATGTTACAGGAACCGAGTAAAGATACCACTGAAATGTGAAAATAAACAGCCTAGACTTTCAATTTGCAACTATTCTTTTCATTATTCAAATTTAGATTGTTTATGAACTAATTTCAGGTTCCTATTTGGTTGCATGACGAAATGTATTTGACTCACAATACAAGACCTCTCAGGGCCCTTCCACACAGTGCTATATCCCACAATATCAAAGCAGAAAATCCCACAATATCTGCTTTGAGCTGGTTTATCTGAGTCCATGCTCAGATAATGTGGGGTTTTCTGCCTTAATATTCTGAGATATAGGGCTGTGTGGAAGGGCCCTCAGTCTGTGGAGAACATGCATTTATGTTTCCATTTAGACTATTCTAATGATATTTAAGTATTTCCTCAAGCGCCCCTGAGTGTTAATTATAAATATATCTATAATTTCCGCGACGACAGAGAACGCTATTTAAGAAGCAGAGAAGTCAAAGCTTGCAATCAATGGAGACTGGAAGCGGGAGGCTTTTGCATAATGTAAGTGCGTACATGGTGCCCATTTGGGACCTCCACTGGCGAGCGGGGCGAGAAAGCACCACCGAGGGGCCCACACGCGACCTAACGGGCCTGGGCCGAGGAGAAAGCGGCCTGGCTGGGAGGGCGAGGGCTGCGGCTCTGACAAGGCCGTGTTGACAACAAGGCCGTGTTGACAACAAGGCCGGAGGGGCTCGGGGGGAGGCAAACCCGAGCGGGCTTCGCTTCCTGGCCTCGCCCGGGCCTACAGCCTCGCCTCAGAAATGGCGCTGGGCGTGAGGAGGCTCGGGAAGCGGCCCAGGCCTCGCCTTGCGGAGGCGCCCAGGCCTCGCCGGCTCTGCGGCTACGAGGGAGGACGAGGAGGCGCCCGTCGTCAGCCATTTTCCCGTCCCTGCCCGAAACCCCTGCCCCCGGTCCCCGTCCCTCCCTTGCTCTCTCCCCGCAGGGCTCCCCTGTGCCTTCCCCGCTAGGCCGCAGAAGCCCCGGCCCTCGCTTGGCTCGCTCACCGCCACACAGCGTCCCTTGTCCCCGCTGCTGCTGTTGCTGCTGCTGCTGCTTCCTGAGGCGCCGAGGCCTTCTCCGCACCGGGGCGCCGCGGCTGCTGCTGGTGGCGAAGGAGGGTGGCGGCGGCGGTGGCGGCGGCGGCGGCGGCGGCGGCGGCGGGGGCGGGTGTGGCCGAGGAGTTTCTCATCCCAAGCGGCACCAGCCTTTCGCAGGGCCGCGTCTCATGCCGGGCCGCGGCGGTGGTGGTGGCGCTTCCCGCAGCGGCAGCTTCCTACTCGAGAAGCCCTTCCAAGGCCGAGCGCTCCTCTCTTCCCTTTCGCTTTGCGTCAGAGCTGGCGCCGAAAGGCCAGGCCCGGCGCTTCCCCTCTTCCTCTTCCCTTTCCCGTGAGGCCTGTCCTGCGTGGCTGGTTGCCCCTCTTTCTCCCGAGGAGGAGGAGGAGTCGCTTCTTCGTCTCCCTTTCTGCCTGCTCTCTTCTTCTCCCGGGCCAGGCAACGAGGCAGGAAGGCGCGTCGCGACGAGGAGGGGCGGCAGCAGCAGCAGCCAGAAGAGCAGCGGCGGAGGCGAGGAGGAGGAGGAGGAAGAGAGCGGCGTCTTGTGTGCCGGGCAATATGGCGGCTCTGGCAGCAGGGCTCGGCCAACAGCGGCGGCGCAGACTCCGCGTCCACGCAGCGGCACCCAAACAGCGTCCGCGGCGGCGAGCGTGACCCCCTCCTCCTCCTCCTCCCTCCCCTCCCCTCCTCGCGGCCTCCTCCCTCCCTCCCTTTCCCCCTCCCTCCTTCCCTGGAGGAGTGTTGTGCTTTGGAACTGAGGGGGCTTCGTGGCTGCTTCACGGTGTCAAGGGTGAGGGGGACTCAGCCAGGCCGCGGAGGGAAGGGAAAGGTAACCGCGGGAGGGCGGGGCCTGGCTTTGCGGCTCAGACTAGGCCCCGAGCAGGCCTGGGCTCTCCCTCCGAGGCGGCCGTTTCCTTTCGGTTGGGCTCCGCTTGGGCTCCATTGTGACCTGCGAGGCGAAGAGCGCCGCCTCGGAGAGCCCGGATGATGACGTCACTTTTCGTGCTCGGGAGGGGGAGCCAGGACGGGCCCTCCCCTCCCTCCGCGTCCCAGGGGCCAGCCAAAGGCTGACGCGGAGGGAGGGAGGGAGGGAGGGGGTCCGGGCGGAAGAGCGCGCGGAGGGAGGTGCAGGGAACGGCATTTGGTTACCCTGGAGCCGGGAAGAGCCAAAGGGCCGAGCCCTGGTCAGCTGGAGCACCAGCCCTCGCTCGTCTGCTCCAGAGAGAGAGAGAGAGAGAGAGGAAAGGCACTGCGCACCATTATTATTCGCCAGAGGAAGTCAGCTTCTGCTTCTCTTTCTGGTGGACCAAACCAGCGGGAGTGGCTCAGGAGAGAGCGCCCAGTCATGCCTGGTATAAAGGGATGGGAGCAATCCCTCCCTGATTGAGGCCTCTTCCGCAGAGATGTATACAATCCTACATTATCTGCTTTGAACTAGACCTGGGGTCCTCAAACTTTTTAAACAGAGGGCCAGGTCACAGTCCCTCAAACTGTTGGAGGGCCAGATTATAATTTGAAAAAATCATGAATGAATTCCTATGCACACTGCATATATCTTATTTGTAGTGCAAAAAACCCCTTAAAATAATACAATAATTAAAATGAGGAACATTTTTAACAAATATACACTTACTAGTATTTCAGTGGGAAGTGTGGGCCTGCTTTTGGCTGAGGAGATCGAGGATTGTTGTGTGCTTTCAAGTCGTTTCAGTCTTAGGTTGACCCTGAGCGAAGGCCGGGTAAATGACCTTGGAGGGCTGTATCCACCCCCAGGCCTTAGTTTGAGGACTCCTGAACTAGATTATATAGCAGTGTGGACTCAGATAACCCAGTTCAATGCAGATATTGTTGATATTCTGGGTTATATGGCTGTGTGGAAGGCAGAGGCGGCCCTATGTAATTTTCAACAGTAAGCAAACAGTATTTTGGCGCCCCCCCAACCAATCATTGATATATATATGTATGTATGTATGTATTTCTGTTCGTCATGGGAGTTCTCTGTGCCATATTTGGTTCAATTCCATCATTGATGGAGTTCAGAATGCTCTTTGATTTTAGGGGAAATATACATCCCAGTAACTACAACTCGCATATGTCAAGGTGTATTTCCCCCCAAGAGCGCCTCAATATCTGATATCTCAATATTCCACAATATCTGCTTTGATCTGGCTTATCTGAGTCCACACTGCCATATAGTCCAGGTCAAAGCAGATAATATGGGATTTTATTCAGCTGTGTGGAAGGGGCCTCAGATAAACCTAGGATTAGTATTGTTTTAGATAAATTCAGATTGTAGGAGCATTTTACACATGGGACCAGGCCCGTAGCCAGGATTTTGTTTCGGGGGGTGGGGCTGAGTCTGAGTGAAAGAGGGTCTACCCTAGCAAACATTTTGTATCATTACCCCAATACTCCCATGCATATGGGATACATTGAGTATAGTGATCAGATCATGATATGAATAAACATAGCAGTTTAAATAATGCACCAGTAAGGCCTTCTTGCAGACCACCATCAGAATTCCCCCCCCCTCCCCGTCTACATGCCTGCATGGGATCATTTTGTATAAGTTATTCAAAACAGTTTAGACTCTCCATTCAATTGTACCACCTACGCTAAAGTAAAACAGACTCAATTTGACATCTTAAAGCCCAAGGAGTTTTATTTGGAATACGCTACAATGGCTTCCTGCCTACTTGCCAAAAGTTTATAGGATGTAAAATGTGCTGAGACTTCCAAGTACCACAGTCTTCTTTGGTATGTGTTATAGGGAAGGCATTGAGAGCTACGTCTAATATAGGATTTAGGTATTTGTTACCATGTATTTTTATTGGCCATAGTTCAGCACAAAGATAAGAACGCTGGCCAGTTTTATCATTACTCCCAATCTGTAGAACAAGAAGATAAAGGGACGAATACTGAATTAAATCAAAAGACTGTTTTATCCTGCCCTGAATTCCTGCAGTGGCCAACTAGATACCAAGCCCATGAATGCAATTATTTCTTGATGTGCTTATTCCCTGCTATGTGGTACCTTAGGTGATATACAGGCATGATGGCTAATAGCCATTGATTACCAGTTCATTCATATATCCAATATTCTTATTAATCCATCAAAGTTAGCAATATAACAGAAGATAATTCCTTAATTTAACTGTGTATTGTCCTGTGTCCCCCACTATCAGTTTAATTTGATGACCCTGATTCTAGTATTATGCACTCTATTTTGACACATCGTGGATGCTTTTACATAACACTTTCATGCCTCCATTTGTTTCCTGTTTTTCTTAAACTGCTCCACACATTGTAACCTTTAATCATTTTATTGCAAATAAAATTAAAGATTTGGCCTGCGGCAGTAATTCTGTTCCAGTAAAGCAGACCACATCTTGCCCTAATTTAATTTGTTTTCACAGATGTGAATTTGTCTAGATGGTATAACTTCAGAGTCCAGGTGAGGGTGCATATATTTACATTTTCTTCTATATTAAAAATGCCACTGTATACAGAAAGGCTCTATGTCAAGAAGCAGTTTTGCTAAAAATGAATTATTATGGGGGATTTAAAAAAATTGTTATTGCTTTGAAAGGAAGTATATTATTTATTATTTATTTATTTATTATTTTATTATTTATTATTTATTTATTTATTACTGCACTTGTATACCGCCGTTTCTCAGCCTACATTGGCGACTCAACACGGTTTACAACATTACAATAATCAACAATATTCAAGATAAAAAGCATAAAAAAAGCATAAAAACACATACATAATATACAATATTGGGCCACCAATATCGAACCAATGCATCTCTTAGTTAAAAACGCAGTCCAATTTCATCGTCTGTGATTACCAGTCCTTGATCGTCAGATTCATTGCACCGTGTTAACCGAATGCTTGTTCGAACATCCATGTCTTCAGTCTTTTTCGAAACGCCACCAGCGAGGGGGCTGATCTTACCTCTATGGGGAGGGCGTTCCAAAGCCGAGGGGCTACCACAGAAAAGGCCCTGTCTCTCGTCCCCGCCAGCCGCACCTGTGAAGCAGGCGGGATAGAGAGCAGGGCCTCCCCAGAAGATCTTAGGTCCTGGTGGGCTGATAGGCAGAGATACGTTCGGATAGATAAGTTGGGCCAGAACCGTTTAGGGCTTTAAAGGCCAACGCCAGCACTTTGAATTGAGCCCGGTAGCAAATCGGCAGCCAGTGGAGCTGGTGCAGCAGAGGAGTTGTATGCTCCCTGCACCCCGCTCCTGTTAGTATCATGGCTGCCGCCCGTTGGACTAATTGGAGCTTCCGAGCCGTCTTCAAAGGCAACCCCACGTAGAGAGCGTTGCAGTAGTCAAGACGGGATGTAACCAGAGCGTGGACTACCGTGGCCAAGTCAGACTTCCCAAGGTACGGTCGCAGTTGGCGCACAAGTTTTAATTGTGCGAATGCTCCCTGGTCACTGCCGAAACCTGGGGTTCCAGGCTCAGCGATGAGTCCAGGATCACACCCAAGCTGCGAACCTGCGTCTTCAGGGGGAGTGCGACCCCATCCAACACAGGCTGTAACCCTATACCCTGTTCGGCCTTGCGACTGACCAGGAGTACCTCTGTCTTGTCTGGATTCAATTTCAATTTGTTCGCCCCCATCCAGACCGTCACAGCGGCCAAGCACCGGTTCAGGACCTCGACAGCCTCCTTAGTAGCAGGTGGAAAGGAGTGACAGAGTTGGACATCATCTGCGTACAGATGACATCGCACTCCGAAACTCCGGATGATCTCGCCCAGCGGCTTCATGTAGATGTTAAACAACATGGGAGACAGTATTGAACCCTGAGGAACCCCACAAGACAAAGGTTGTGGAGTTGAACAGGAGTCTCCCAGTAACACCTTCTGAGACCGACCCTCGAGGAATGAGCGGAGCCACTGCAGAACAGTACCTCAAGACCCATCCCCGCGAGGCGTCCCAGAAGGATACCGTGGTCGACGGTATCGAAGGCCGCTGAGAGGTCGAGCAGCACCAACAGGGACACACTCCCCCTGTCGAGCTCCCGACGCAGATCATCCACTAAGGCGACCAAGGCTGTCTCGGTACCATGCCCCGGCCTAAAGCCAGACTGTGCCGGATCCAGAAAATCCGTGTCTACCAAGAATGCCTGGAGTTGTGAGGCCACCACACGTTCCATGACTTTGCCCAAAAAGGGGAGATTGGAAACAGGCCGATAGTTGACGAATTGAGTGGGGTCCAGTGATGGTTTCTTCAACAGCGGTTTTATCACAGCTTGCTTTAAGCTGGCTGGAATTTTGCCCTCCCGAAGGGAGACATTAACCACCACCTTCACCCACTCGGCCAATCCCCCTCTGGCCTCCTTCAGAAGCCAGGATGGGCAGGGGTCTAGGATGCATGTGGTAGCTCTCATTCCTCCAAGCACCTTGTCCACATCCTCGGATTGAACCAATTGAAATGAATCCATCAAAATTGGACAAGCAGATGCTCGTGTTACATCCTCAGAGACTGCCATTAATATGGTATCCAGTCCAGAGCGGATCAAAGCGACTTTGTCTGCAAAGAACTGAGCAAAAGCTTCACAGCGAGCTGCCGAGTTGTCAGGGCTCCCGTCCTGAGCGACGGGATTTAAAAGGCCTCTGACAACTCGAACAGTTCAGCCGGACGGTTCTTTGCAGACGCAATAGTGGCCGCAAAGAAAGTCTTCTTTGCGGCTTTTATTGCCGCGGCATATGCCCTTAAAAAGGACACAAACCGTGTTCGATTTGGCTCGCTCGGATCCGAACGCCACACGCTCTCT